CTGGAAAGATCTGGGCCTCTGCCTGCCTCACCTGGCCCTGAAAACCTTCCCTGGCTTCACAAGGGGAAAGCGGCAACTCCCTCCGACCTCCGACACAGAGTCTGCCCTGTGTCCCAAACCACACTTCCAGTTTCCTTTCAACAGACACCCTCCCTCAGAGTAAAGCAACCTGGATACATAGGAGAATGGGGATTCTGATGGGGAGGTTTGGGGAACTGTCCAGGTCTAGGCCCCGCCCTCAGAGATCTGCTTTCCCCCGGGGATGATCAGGCGGGCAAAGATGGATTTAAAAACAAAAACAAAAACAAAAACAAAACAAAATCCACCTCCCAGGTGATTTCAACATAACAGTATGCTTTGAAGCTGGCCGAAGCTCGCCACCCAATGACATCCGAATCTTCTCCCTGCCCAGCTGCTGGGCAGACTCGGTCCCTGCAGAAGCCAGGCAACCATGTGGCCCCCTTTGTTAAGGGGGGCCGGCTGGTGAGCTCAGGGCAGTGAAGGGTGAGCTGCAGCTGGCTCTCACTGGCTCACATGGGTGGTTCAACCCGGTAGCTGCCCAGGGGCCACAGCGGGGCTGTTTAGACCACACCACTGAAGCCAGCAGGTGCAACGGTCACGGCTCTTTGTTCCCCTCCTCTGAGCTGGTTTATCAGCAGACCACATGCACAAGGGCCTCCGACACTGGGAAGCCAGGGAAGGACACCTGTATTGCCTTCAGGCCCCGAGAGACTAGAGCAAGCTTCCTGGTTCCTAAAAATGGGGCAGGGCTTCCCTGAGTCCCACAGCCTGGGGGAAGGGGAAGGAGGGAGAGAGGAGAAGATGAATCACAGGAGTCTGGAACCACAAAAATCCTTCCACAGGAAGTATTCTTTTCAATTTGTTCAGAAGCGTTGGGCTAACAGGAACCAGCAGAGAGTTTCTCCAGAGACTGAGCTTTTAATGAGCAGATAAGAATAATCTCCTGAGTGTGTCATTTATTTCATTGTGAAGTGGAAGGTGGAATCCTTATCTTACACCTACTAGAGAGACTGCCCGTAATCTTTATCTTATTCTCATGACCTCGGTCTGCCCGGAATACCCTCGCTTCAGGGCACAAGGACAGACTTCATGGGGGCTCCTGTCCGTGTTACCCCCAACGGCAACACCTCAGTCTTCCAAAGGAACCAACCTGGACCCTGCAGAAGACAGGGAGAGGGTGCAGATCCCCGGGAATAAAGGTGGAACTGGCTGCCTTCCGCTCAGGCTGCAAACATTTTGCAGGTTTTAAGGATTTCGTCACCTTCAGAGTGCAAGTTCTGTAACTGTGTAAGGAGGCTTCACGCACCTGTCTTCGTGCATGAGCGCTTTTGATGTCAGCACCTTGGGAGATGTGAATAAAAGCGCGGGGCTTGGGCAGACACAGGTTCAATTCCCGGCTCCAGCACTCTGGGACCCTTGTGCTGGGGGACTACGTAAATCCTCACAGCTTCTATGTATGAGGGAACCCTTCATGATTTTGGTGAGGGTCTTAACGTGTGCTTGCCAGGCCGGGTGCTTCGTAAGCCTTCAGCAAATGATACCTCTTTCTAGCCCTAAAATATCCCAAATCTCAACTTAAATTAGGCGAACTCCTTCCTGAGATCCTACTGGCTTACTGAGGGGCCGGTCTGAGCAGGCGCTAGTCCACCTTGGGGCGGTGGGGGGGGCGGGACTGATGCACTCTGTGGGATCCACCCTTCCCCCCTCGAAACACACTGCTCACCCCTTGATTTTTAAAATACCTTCTGAGAGCCATGGCCTTCAGAAGGCTGAGTATTGACATCCTTTCCCTTAAGACACTGGGCCAGATGGCATCAGGTGCTGTTATGTAACTCGAGGATGCCCCCGGGGGCCCACTGAAAAGCAGGCTCAGGCTTCCTGAGAGATCCTCAGTAAGTAGCAGGATTGTTCCCTGGGCGTTTGGGGACTCGGTGAATTATTCTTCTGTCACTCCTCCAGAGGGTGCTGGCGGAATGCGGGGCTTCTATTGTGCCAATCCCTGAGAAGGTGGGCAGCCCAGCTCAGGCCCCCACACAGGATGGCCCCAGGCTCCCCTCCTGGCCAGGAGCAAAGCCGGCCAGAGCACTCTGAGTGAAGTCTCCATAGCTGTTCGGTGACCCTTCCCGGTTCCAGCTTGTCAGGCAGCGACCTCAGGACAAAGAAGTCCGAGTGCCCTGCTCCAGGGCCTTCGGAAATATCCCAGGGGCCTGGATTGAATTCTCAGGAGAGAAATCACACCGCCATCCAGTACAGGTGCGGGATTTGAAAATAACAAAGTTAAGGAAAACCCACGTGGCTGGCCCAGGGCCCACTTGCTAAAACAGCAGCTGCTAATCAGTCAAAACAAGGCTGATACCCAAAACAGGGAGCCAGAGAGGTCTGCCCGGACTCAGGGAGAACACCAAGGGTCGAACTCCGTGCCTCTTAACCTTGCTCGGGCCAAGGGCTCCACTAAGAATCGGAGGGAAGCCAAGCGCCCTCCTCCCACAAGTAACTGGCGGCGATCGGGAGATTTAAATGCGGGAGGGGCCTCCCAAGACCCAAGGGCGTAAACCCCATTCGCATTAGCATACCTTATCGACAGACGAGAAACCATTAGAATAAGAAAAAGTCTGTTCCAGCAGCCACAGGAAAGCACTTCCAGGCTGCTGGGTAACCAGAAATCAAGTTAGCAAACAACAGCAAAGGAGAAAATCCAGGAAGACTCCCTCTTCCTCCCTCCACCGAGAAAATTAAGAGCATAATACTAACTGGCAGACAGCCCAGTTAAGGACACTTGGCAACAACTTGTCCAGCCCCCTTTCTGGGTCCTTCTGGAAATCCCCCTGTGTCTGGACTGGGATCAGCCACCAGACCTCGGGCAGATCAAAGTGCCGGTGGGATCAAACAATAAAAAAATGAAAACTATCAAATGACAGACTGAAGCCCCGCAGACCAGCTACGGAGGCTCTTCCAGCAAGGCTCAGTTTCACTGCCGGGGGAACAAAAGGCAACCTGTGTGAGCCTCTCCCCACTGGGGATTTGCATACCTGAAATTAACAAATGGTGTGAGTCTCTATCCATTGTTGGAAAGGGCCATGGAGTGTGGTGCCTGAGTCCTGGAACAACAGGAAAAAATTAAAGCTCACAGAAGCTTCTCAGGCACCACAGATCTGAGCTGCTCATTGTTCATTTCGTAAACAAGCAAGCCATAAGACAAATCCCTGGAAGCCAGGTTTGTTCACTTTCCGAGTCCTCCCAGAACTAACTGTTCCCTCCCAGATCAGCATGGCCTTGGCATTCCACAGATGGACAAACATCGGGCCTGGGCAACGGGGGACCTGTCCCTTACCCTCTCCAAGTCCACCCATATGCACAAAGCAAGGAGGGAGGAGGCTGACTGGGGAGTGCGTCTCCTTCTAATCACCCCCCCCCTCGTTGCACAGAATGCACAGAGCCCAGAACCAGGAACGTTCTCCAGGCTTCACCGGACATTCCTGGAGTCTGTTTCCTGGTCAGGAGGGCCAGGTGGAAGGTAGACTGTTTCACTGGATGACGAAGGCAATGTGGAACAGCAAAATGCTCCCTAGCCCCTTAAAGTACAGTCGCTGTCCATCCAAGGATGTCAAAACGCTTCACAAACCACCCATTAATTTTTATGGTGGCCTGAGAAGCAGATTGAGAATCATTATCTTCCTTTTTACAAGGCAAGGAACCCAAACCACAGGGGAAGGTGGAGAACAACCAGGCCAATGCAGTCTCACCCAACGTTCTAGGCTGATGCTCCCTCCTCTGTCCACCTCTGGCCCACAGAAGGGGAGCCAGCTCAGAAGGGAGCCAGGTCACTAAAGATAAACTTAGGTGTTCAGAGACCACTACCCTTGGAAGGCTGCGGAGAGGAGAGCTGTGTAAAGGGATTATTTTGATTTAGGCAAGAGAAGCCCCAATTGCAACTTACTCATTAAATCGGCAAGCCTGTGACACCAAGAATGTAAATATTAAAGGCGGGTAGGAACAGTGGGATCACGGATGTCTTCTGTCTTACTGTTTATATTTTTTTGTTACCATGTTTTCTCCCCAAAGCATATACTGCTTCTGTGATGAAAACAAAAGTTATACGAACTTATTACTGATAAAGGACACACTACAAATCTGCTGCACTAACTCGCCAAGAATGAGCACGAATAAAATCGAGCCCGGCGTCCCCTCTCGAAATCTCACTGCTGGGGAGGATCCGCAAGCCGGTCAGCACGTAGAGGGCCCGCGGCTCTCGCGCCGCCCAGCACCCCGGGGAAGGGCCAGCGTCGGCCTGGTCCCCCGGCTGCAGAAGCGGCCGCGGGCCAGGAGCCGCCCGCACTCTCGGGCACCACCAATCCGCAGCGCGGAGCAGGCTTCCCGGGAAACATCACTTAGAGAACAACGTGCCTCTCCTCCAGCCGTCCCCACCCGCCGGCAGCCCGCGCTGTCAGCTCGCGACTGCTCACTCCCCGGACGGCCCAGCCACAACCCGGGATTTGTATTTCCATCCTAGAACCAGGCATCTCCGAAGTTGAAATATGCATTGTCACCAACAAGTTTAACCCGGGACCGCGCGTCCCCCTCTCCTCCCCAGAACCGCGCGAGGGGGCGCCCCGGGGACGCGTGCGGTCGCCGCGCCGGGCCACCCCGCAGGGCCTGTCCAGGAGGCGCCAGGGCCGGGGGAGGGGGCTCCGCCGGCGCACGCGGGGGCTCCGACAGCGGCTCGGCGCCGGGAACCCTGGCCCGCCCGTCTGCGCCCGGGTAACCCAGGCGCCCGGGCGGCAGCAAGGGGAGAGAGGCTTCCCGAAGCCGCCCGGCGCCAGCCGTGCCGGAGCACCCGGACCCCGAACTCAGGCGGCGGGGGAACGATCGGCGCCCACGAGGGGTGCGAGCCCGCCGAGCCCCGGCAGGCTCTGTGGGAGCGAGGCCGGGCACTGGGCGGGAGCTGCCCACAGGGGAGCGCCGGACCGCCGCCTGCCTACCTGGCTCGCATTGCGTCCCCGCCGGCTCCTGCGGCTCTCCTCACCGTCTGGGAGGTCAGCCCGGCCGGGGGCGCGCGCGGCTCCGCGGGAATCTCCGCGCGAATATCCGCGCGGCGGAGGCGAGCTGCCGGGACCGCCGAGAGTGCCCGGAGCGCTCGGCCCGCGCCTCCGCGGGCGGAGGGTGGTCCCCGCGCCGGGGCGGGGCTGCGGGGGCGGGGGCGCGGCGCGCGAGGCGGGGCGGGCGAGGGGGGGGGGGCGGGCGGGAGGGCAGGGGTGGTCTCCGCGGGGGGTGGAGCCTGGGGGCAGGGCGGAGCCTGAGCCGAGGCCCCTAGCGAGACGCGGGACGAGGAGAAAGGGAGACGAGGAGAGGGACACAAGCGCACGCCTCCCGAGGCGGATAGGGCGGGGGCGGGGCAAAAGCGGAGGGGGCGTGGCCGATCTGGGGCGGCCCAGAGGCAGGGGCGGGGTGTGGACGAGTTGGGGGGATCTGGGGGGGATGGCGGGGGCGGGGGGGGGGGGCCGGGGCAAAGGGGGGGGGAGTTTAGCCAAGGAGGCGGCTAGGCTGGGGCGGGGTGGGAATAATTAGGGGCAGTGCTAAGGAGGGACGGGGCTTAGCTGAGGCCGCCGAAAGGCCGGGAGGGGGAAAATGTGGATAATTAGGGGGAGGGCCGAGCCCTTGTTGCCCGGAGGCCGGGGGCGGGGGCGAGCGCGAAGGGGGCGGAGTCGGGCCGGGGCCACCCGGCGGCCGGGGCGGGGTGTGGTTTGTCGGGGCTGGGCGAGCGCGCAGGGGCGAGGCGGAGGCGGGGCCGCGGGGAGGCGGGGCCGCGGGGAGGCGGGCCCGGGAGCGATCGCGCTGGCAGGCGGTGGCGCCGCGTCTCCCGGAGCCCCAGCTGGGACCCCGCCTCGGTGCCTCCTAGTCTTCCTCCTCCGGGCGCCAGCCGGGGAATGGGGTCCACGGCTGGGGGGCGCCCCCCCCGGGGTCGTGGGCCCTGGAACCAAGCAGACCTAGGTACGGCAGCTTCATCGTTACCTTTTGGTCGCGCTCCAGTGTTCCTTGCACCCCCCATTCTCCCACTCGTTCTCGGAGAGCCCCACGCGTGGACCCCGGGTGAGGTACGGCTCCGCGGGCGTGGGCCGGGACTCGGAGGGTGGTCCCTAATACTGAGAATCCTGCTTCTCACACAGTGGAAGGAAGGCAGTGCAGGGCGGTGGGGGGCAAGCGCGAAGTTGTAAAGTAAGTCGAGAAGAAAGGCAGTCACATGGAACATTACAAAGAAGGAGAACTTCCGGCTGAGCAGAGTGCGGGAGGAATACATAGTATCATTAACCATTTATACTTGGTCTAGCTTGTGTCCCCATGTTTGGCGCCTGAGAAGCGCTCAATAAATGCTCAGTAAATTGAACCACCACCTACTGTGTGGCAAGCACTTTCCATGGAATGACACAATCCCCCCAAAATCCCGTACTTGGCTACTCTTTTTAGTCCGTCTCACGCGTGAGTGGACTGAAGCTCCGAGGGTTGATTTGACAGTGAGAAAGTAGTACAACCAGAATTTGACCTGAGGTCACTCTAGAGGTTAGGCACTAACTACCTGGGGGACTGCCAGCTGCCTTCCTGCAAGACTGGAGTCCCCTGCAGGACTGAAGTCCCCCTACAATGCAGAAAGGAGGAAGCACAGGTCTTCCCCGGGACAAAAGCTCTCATATCCTCATCCCCGGCCAGACCTAAACATCTCAGGAGGCGTTTCTCACCATTACCTAGCAAGGCAGATATTCTTACTCTCATTTTATAGGTGACTTTAGACCTTATGTTTATCATGATCTCATGGGGCACATGAACCTAAATTCAAACCCTGGAATTTCTGGATCCCAAGTCTTTGCTGCTCCCTCTGTCTTGGAGATCTCCCATTACCTAAGGAATCTTTCTTGATCTGCGGTCCATGTTGCATTTTCAGAAGGATTCACAGGAGGACAGAGATGTGGTTCAAGAAGGTTGGAGATCGGGGGCTCTGATCTGGGTGTGGGCAACTGAATTCCTGAAAATGGATACAGTTAGCCCTAAAATGTATGCCGCAGGCTTTGAAAGGAGCCTCAGAGAGGAAGAGGGCATCCAGGGGGCATGGCGGGGGCCCAGGGAGTTCTCAGTGGTATAGGGACGTGCGGGGAGCACTGACCCAGGAGCGAGCCTATTGGGCTCCAATCTCTGGTGAGCTATTTTACCTCTCTGTGACTCAGTTTCCTAAACGAGTATGAAAATTCAATGCCTCCTGTGGAGTGTTCAGCAGATCAGCACAGATTGGCATTCAATAAATTTCAGCTGCTATTCCGAATGACATCCTTGCTGTGTAAAAAATGTCTGTGATGCATAAGAAAAGACAAACCAGTAGAAAATTAGGAAATAAACAAAAGGTATGAAAAGACAATGCCCAGAGTCCCCACAAATGGTCCAACAGCCACGCTGATACAGGGAGGAAAAGCAACACATAAGGATAAATCAAATAAGAAAGCCAGAGTCCCGTCTGGGAGAAGCTGAGCTCATTGAGCGGTAAGGAAGAGACAATAAAATCACAAAGAAGAAAGTACTGTGGACATGCAGGATACCACGCGAAAAAAATAAAATGTTCACTCATTTTGCCTGGGGGCACACAGAGAGCCTGCCTGATGGTGTCCATAGTTGTACCCAGGGGACTTGGCTTTCACGATGCCATCAGCATCTTTACATCCTAGGAGAGGCATTCCCAGAGGTCAAATGTCTAAAGACAGTGATGGAAAAAACGAGAGCATACTGTGTATACTTTTACCACCATAGCTTGAATTGCACTTGAGCCTGGTAGCAGCTGGGTGACAACGTGACACGATTAGGTGGAGGTTCGTGTGTGGACCATTTCGCCTTTCATGGCTCTGGAAATCAAGGAGATCTCAAGATACTGCTTCCAGTTGAGTATATGCTCTCTCGTTCCACCAGTTTTTCTTGCCCTTCCAAAGACAAAAGGGAAAAAAAAAGGTAAGATATTCCTAATGTTCAGTTACTCAGTAAGCATTTCTAGTAGGAACACATACAGCAAAATCAATAACTTGGTGTTTTAGGTGTGGAACTAACGCACGTTTGTTTCAAAGGATACAAACGATCAGAGATGGGTGTAGTGTAACAAGTGGGCATCGATCCCCAATTTCATACCCTTTCCCAAGAGTCCACGGTCATGTGTGAATGTGTGTACACACCCCGTATCCGTAGACACATGCTCAAAGACATTGAGAATAGGGGCAGTGCTTGCTAGCAAGGACTGAGTGAGATAATGTGTGCAGATAGACCATCTATGAACATATGCTATCGTCATTATTATCAACACACACACACACTTGCAACTTGTGCTTTGAGTCACTTAAAACCCGAGAGAACGATCCTAGTTTTGCATCATCTGTACCTAGAAATATCTTTTTTCAAGCCTCCTTGATAAGTAGTTACCAAGGGGGCGACCACGTTGCTCTGAAGCGGAAGGGTTGATGAGATGGTCCGAGAACGTGAACTTCAGGCTTCAGACTTGCCAGGTTTCTCCCTGAGCATGGGCTCCTTAAAAAGGGCATGCAGGGAAAATGCCGTCCTAGGAGGTCTCTTGTGGGTTGGAAAGTAAAATACGCATGTGGGTTAGAGGAAGGGCATGGGGTGGGTTTGGAACATGCACATCTTTTATTTCGATGAGCAATAGGTTAAACTTAATCCACCCCAACTGCCACCACCAAAGATTCATGCTAGGGGCTTCTCAAAACAGACACCTACTGTGTGCCACACCCTGAGAATCAGAGGCTGAGAGAGCCAGAATCAGCTCCACTCTCTTGGTGCCGAGACCCCAGCGGTGATTTGAGACTGGAGAGGGGCCAGCCTGCAGGTGGCACATGCTGTCAAGGCAAGCGCCAGGGGCTGAGAAAGGAGACACCTGCCTTAGGGATGACAGCCAAACAGGGCCCTCTCAGGAGAGATGACATCAGACACCCAAAGTGAAAGAAGCCAGGGAGGGGCAGGCCAGGCAGAGGGAACAGCACATGTGAAGACTTTGAGGCCAGAAAAAGCTTTTCACGTTTAGGAAACTGAAATGCCACCCTGTGTGGCTGGGGTGAAAAAATGAGGTGAAGAATGGGGACAGGTGAGGACGGACAGATGGCGGGGTCTGGACCCCCCAAAGCGCATTGCCTGTGTAGGGGTGTGGGGCATTCAGATGCTGCTCTTTCCTCTGCCCCTCCTGCGGCAGCTCAGAGAAAGTTGCTTTGCCAAGAATTTGAGCAGACACTAGCTTTTTAAGAGAGTGTCTGTTGTCAAAAAATGTTGGGTGACCCGCTTGCCATTCTGGGAAGCCTCCACCCTTGCAGCCCCGAGATGCTGTAACACAGCCCTCCATCTTGCCGTTGTCCTTAATTACTCCAAACACACAGGGGCATAACTAGGGCAGCAAGGGAGCACACGATTCTCTCACACAGAATCCAGAAGGGATGCAGACAAAACAGTCGGCTGAGGGGAGTTCTGTGACTTTCTTCGGGAAACTTCTAGAAATACTTCTTAATGAATATTCATTTTCTCACTCAATTTTATTCAGTTACTCATTTAACAGTTATGTCTAGAATGCTTACTGTACATCAGGTGGTGTGCTAGACGCTGGGGATAAGAAGAGGAGTACATTCTAGATCCTTCTATCTAAGAAGCGCACAGCTGAGGAACAAGCAATTAGGCTATAGAGTGGTTCGAGGGCAAATGCGTGCCAGGATAGTCACCTGCCCCAGCCTACATGCAAGTGGGCGTGGGCATCCTCATGGCCGGGGTGGCAAAGGTTGAGTTTGTAATAGTTATAGGGGAGAAATGGGAGGAGGACAGCATCCAGGCAGGGTCTGCCAGTGCCAAGCTTGGAGGCTGGAGGGGTTGTGGGCAGCGAGGGAGCAGGGTGGCATGGGGCAGGAAGCGTGTGTGGACACATAGGCTAGCTCCAAGGCCGGGGAGTCCTCTGGGGTCCGGGACCCCAACTGCACAAGGCCAGGCCTCCCCACGGGGAGTATTTCAATGTCAAACTGTGAGAACTTAATAAAAGTGCTCAGTCAGTT